TCTCTCTCTCTCCTCCTCCTCCTCTCTCTCTCTCTCTCTCTCTCTCTCTCTCTCTCTCTCTCTCTCTCTCTTTCGTACATTCCTCTCGTAGACTTTTACAATAACAATTCTATTTTTTTTCGCCGGTAGAAACGGCCGAACTGCAACCGAGTTCTCGAGGCGGGATGCGATAACGATTAACACCAAATCGCATCGCGATTCGATATAACTTTATTTTACACCGACTTTACACACTTCTCTTCTGCCGTGAAATAATTAACATTTCGTAACACCACGACCGTCATCCCCAGTTTCTCAGTTTTTTTTTTCTGTTTTTTTTTCTTTCTTTTCTTTTCTTTTCTTTTCTTTTCTTTCTTTCTTTTAAAATTTTACCGACAACCCGCCACGGCTACGAAGACAATTTAGAAGCCGTACTAACTATTTACAACTACGACGAGAATTCTCTTCGTGTTAACCATTCTTTCGCGCTTCACGTTATTACGTTATATATCACCGTTAATATAATAATACCGTTACATCGGACGTACGCGTACGTCTCTCTCTCTCTCTCTCTCTCACTATCTCTTTCTCTCTCGAGGGAAAAGGAAAATCGTTTTTAAATCGTCGAATCGAAGAAGTCGAGAAGAAATATGACTTTGTCTCGTATATTTCATTTCGTGCGCGTCGTGTTTTTTTGTCTTCGAAGCCTCAGCAAGCCGTGTCCAACCCCCTCGTTTTAATTTTTTCATCTCTAAATACATTATACATTATCGAAATATTTCTACAACGGCGTGTCCTATCATTGTTCCGCGCGTGCCTTCGTAAAATTTGTCGCGTTGATATGCTAAAACACTCCTCCACCCTTATCGTACTACCATTAATAAATTATTTCTTATATACGTCGCTTCGATTCCCCGTTTGCCACTTTTTTTTTCTTTTTTTTTTCTTTTTCTTTTTCTCTTTCTTTTTTGGCCTCGCTGGCTGATCCAATGATTATATAACTTCTTCCCCTTTTATTTCCAATCGCACAATTCACTCACTCGCATACAATTTAAATATCCGTTCTTTCGTCAAATATAATATAATAATTTTTCTCTTCGTCTAAGGATAATCGTTAATACGAATAATAATAATAGCGATCGTACGATAGAAGAATAATAAGAATAACGATAGTTAGATCGAAATTTGACAAATGCGACGATGACAATTTGTCGAGGATAATAATGATATTATAATAATCAATCAGCGATGATTTAGTAACAATGTATTATAATAGTAATAATAGATTTATCGCACGATGAAATCGATAAATTCACTTTTACGTTATACGGTTAGCAAAGATTAATACTGTCGCACTTATAATAATAATAATAAATAGCTCTTTCTTATTTCTCTCGATCGATTCACGATTAACTCGTGATGAAAACTGATTCGATTCGCGCGCTGATTCCTCACCTCGACGCGCAATGTTTTATAATTTTGATCGCGTTTGCGTCGTACAGTTTGTCGACGTGAAATTAGCCTCAGAAGTTTTATTCTCGAAGTATGATCGAAATCGCAAAGAATCACAGTTGTCCAGACAATTCTTCAATTTTAAATCGTGAAATTTCGGATCAGAAACAGAGATGCGCTCAAAGACATAAATTTCTTTTCTTCAACGTAAACGTCAGAGGATATGCCTTCGTTTCGCTTTCGTACGAGAATGAAAGTTTTTGACATTTAATAACGTAAAGAAATACTTTTAAAATTAAAATATCCGTGTGGAAGGAATCATACATCCGGATGTATCTGACGTTCGCAGAAGATGTAGTATACCAAAAAAAAAAAGAATTAAAGAAAAAGAAAAAAAATAAAGCGTTATTTTAACCGCGTTAATTTTTACTTTCGAAAAATTTGATTAATATACAGCTGTTCCTAAGTGAGAATTATTATTATTATTAGCGGGCATCGAGGGCGAGATTCGTCGTCAAGGGGAAAAAAGAGGAGGGCGTTCCAAGAGACGTCCCACACGTGCAGCGAACGCATTTTTTTCATCCCTTTTTTTTTCTCTCTTTTCTTTTCTTTTCTTTATTATTTCCATGCACTATATAATTAGTATTTCGCTATGTAGGACATTACTGTGTGCACCAGCATATACGCACACCCTGTGCCATGGTTGTAGTAATTATTTCTTTCTTTCTTTCTTTCTTTTTTCTTTTTCTTCTTCCTTTTCTTCCCTTTTATATATATACAAATCCCCGTTTCGGGCCCGTGCAGACGTCGACGAATTTTCGGAATCGCCAAGTATCGTTTCTGGACCATTAAGATTTTTTTCCACCGTTCTAACGCCGTTCCCCACGGGCGGCGGAAAGTGAAAGAGAATTTGTGTATGAATCCTACTTCGGGCGATCCCGAAGACCTCGAGGTCCGCGCGACTACTCGGCCGAGGAGAAAAACTCTTGCATTGTATATCGGGTGTTTGATTATACTACGCAAACGTTTTTGGGCCCCGGATGCGAAAGAACGGCCAGGGCCGCCGGTTATAAAATTTTTTGTTATTGTATGCCACCCCCGAAATCAACAATAAAACTGATTTCACTCTTTTTTTTTTCTTTTTTTTTCTTTTTTTCTTTTTTTTGTTCCTTCCTCTCTTACGATCTGTATAATATTATATCCCTTCTCTTCTGAAGGCAAGAGGATATTTCCATTTTTTTTTTTTGCGTGCGTGCGTGCGTGCGCGCGTGTGAACGTGTATTAAGTGTGTTGTGTACAAATGTGTATGCTTGCGCGTGTGTACGGAGTGTTCGATTCACATATTCTTCCTTTTGATCGTACGTGTACGCGTGTATGTAATGCAAGTAGCACTCGCGTGTTCTCAACGTGTTGTTCGTTCCTCCGTTATTTTTGTGTAATATGTGTATACGTGTACGTGTGTGTGTGTGTCTTTTCCGTATTATTATTATTATTATTATTATTATATTATTATTATTAATATTATTATTATTATTAATATTATTATTATTATTATTATTATTATTATTATTATTATTATTATTTTTATTTTGTTTTTCTTTTTTTGTTCAGCATGTACTTTACTGGATTCGCCTTCGCACCTCTCGCGTCAACCCTCAAATTCGTTCCCTATATTTAATATGTAAAAATATACAGGTTAGGTTATAGTCATAAATACAGTTAAAAAATTCTACATTTTTTTTTTTTCTTTTTTTCTTTTTCTTTTCTTTTTAGCCTCGAGCACGGGATTGCAGTCAAAATGTGTGTACGCCTTCAAAATGATCCAGCGATCGGAAAAGAAGCGAAACCTTAAAATCCGAGAACGCGAGTGAAACGTGATCGCCTGAAATCGCCGATCGGATATCTGCTCGACATGTCGGAATAATAATTCTCGCGCAATATCTCGTTCGCGCGCGCGCGCGCGCGTCTCCGATTTACGCCGGTTGTGTTGAGTAGTAGAAACGTTTTTTTTTTTTTTCTTTTCTTTTTTTAAAAAGCGCGAAAACGAATGAAATTTAGTTCAATCGAAGTGAAATGATCGAAAAAAATACTTGGGCTATTTCTTTCTCCCTCTCGTTACACCGAGAAACGAATCAGAAAGCCTATCGTCGGGTGAAATAATATTAATAATAATAAGTCATATTATGCTTGAAAATTTTCATTTCAGTCTGTGGCCATCGAATTTCTTGTATGTCTTTAGTGAGATTGAAGTTTGGTATTTAATTTACAACTAGGGGAATTACAATTTCAGAATAATGTATAATAAAATTAAATGATTCGCGCTAGTAAACTACGTAATTCAATGAATGTTATCGTTTTGTTCGACACTTTCTTTTCCAATAAAAAAAATTCTTTGAAAATTGACGAATTAACGTTAGTATTTTACTCGAAAAGACAAAATGTTTGTTGACGAAAAGGGAATGGGTGAAAATTTGTTTGAAACATAGATTTAATGTGATAAGAATTTGAAGTTACTTTATCTTTGAAATAATTATAAATAATTTATATCTGATAAAATAACAAACAAATATATATATATATATAGTATTGCAATGAGAAGAAGGAATGACATAATTCGATGGTCATAGACTGTACGTTTATCGTATTATTATGCTTATCAACTTAAACTGTAATTTTGGATCACGATATCGATTTAAGTAACATCGATCGAGGAGAGGTTCTAAAATTCGATCTTGACTAAAAACTATTCAAAGTTGTTTCCTCCCTACGCGTTTCTAACTAACTAATAAGTAGACGCAAAAACTCTGCAAGTTTTAATTGTACGGTCATCGAGATCTCTGCGAGCGAGTTGTATAAGTCAGTCTCAAAATTAGTTGCACACCTTCGTGGTACGTAGAACTGTTTTATCATTCGATCAACGAACGACAGCTGCTCGATATACGGTACCCTTGTATACGTCGTTTCGTTCTTAAACCTGCCACGATATTTTTGAGAAAGAAGCTAGTGAAATCGATCTATAATAATACAATACAAAGATCGCTGCGCTCTCTAATCACGTTCAATTATTCTTCTTTTCTTCTTCTTCTTCTTCTTCTTCTTCTTCTTCTTCTTCTTCTTTTTTCTTCTTCTTTTTCATCTTTGCAGCCATTAAAAAACTATCAGGCAAACACGTAACGAAATTCTATATTTTTTTTTTTTTCTGGACGGTACGTTCTGGGCGTGACTATTCTCTCCTTTCCTTAGGCAGTTGCTAACTCTTAACTATTTTACACGTATCTCTGGCAACTGTCGTTTATCCATTTAAAAAACGTGAAACAAAATCGTCTGCAACGATAATATTCAACGCGTCTCAATCCCTTGTTCGGTGTGTTTCCTTCTCAAAAGTAAAATTCATTCGTTTATCCGCCGAATAGAATTTTTCAAATGCTTCGAAATTGGAAATTCTATGCAGGATATTTTCGTGTTTTCCGGATTTTTTCATAGCTTCGATCAACTCTTTGATAATGTTCTTTCATTTTATTAATGACGTTGGAAAGTAGGTAATTTTGTGGTAAAACATTTGGTGTACAGAACAAAATGGATCTCTATCCACAAATATAAAAAGGGTACTGTAGATTGTCAATTGTTTAATAATGGAAAAACTTCGTTCAAAATTTGTTTCAAAACCGAAATCTTTCTCGAAAGATTATACATACATATATATTGAAAATCAAAGTATTCGATTAAACAATTTACGATAGAAAATTTATCTAATTTATATATATATACACTATACTTCGTCCAAAGAATTCGACAGTTCTTCAAAATAAAAAAGATTCGATGGTTGGTAGGTCGAAAAGAATTTTTCATCGAAGAGAAACACTTCTCATGAACTTTCTTCAACGACGAAAAACAATTACCGCGAGATTCAAACGCGAGTCTATCCCCAAGTACGCTTGAGAATTTATTTCGTCCGGTGATTTGAACGCGATTCGCTATCGTTTCGTGCGAAAGAGCCACTTGTTAGCCAACTGTTGCATTCTGAGCAGGCGCCGAAGGGGCACATTATAATTTGTCAGAATCGAGCCACTCCCCCATCAACTTTCCTCCTCTATTAAATTCACGGTTCGTAAGAAAAATTGCTACGTCGTTGCAAAAGTATCGGCTAAAATTTGTAAAAAAAAAAAAAAAAAAAANAAAAGAAAAAAAGAAAATTGACGAATCTAAAAGACATCTATTATTTTTTATTTGAAAGGAAAAAGAATTATAGAGATAATGATATTATTGAGAAGATATATTTATTAATGCGAAGTGTGCTAAGAAAATAAGGAGTTATTTATTTTGCTTCTGATATTAAAATTTAGGATAGGAATTATTATATTTAACGTTGAAAAATTATAATGAAGAAGTCTCGTATAAATTCCAATTATTTCACTCGTTCGTAAACCGTATCCGAAGAATATTATTTTGAACATTTCATTTTTATTATCGATTCGAAAAAAATTAATTCTCGTTATAATTTCTTCACACACCTCGTTCTTACTTACTGACAAAAATTCACTCTACTTTCTAATATTGTCACGCTTGTAATATTCGACTTCAGTTAAAAGCGAAAATTGATTTGGAAGATTCATCGTTGGCACAATATTGTATTTCATAGAGGTTGTCCCCGAAATATTGATTCGTACACAAATAGATATGATATAATTCCCTTAAAATAATATAAAAAAAGGACTACTTTATCATTTTTTCCAACACATTTCGTACAATTATTCCATCACATATCACCAATTCAAACGATTTGAAAATGGAAAAATGAACGGATAATTGGAAAATATAAATGAATAGAAATTATCTCGTCACGTGATGTTCCATTCTAAACTACCTTTGATTTTTAATTATTGATAAATAAAAATAAATACAAATCTCTCTCTATATATATATATATATATATGAAAATGGCACGATACGAAATGTGTTAAAATGTCATCACGAAAACAAAAAGAGTTCTCGATTTGCGATAATTATATTATGCCCCTATTAACTAAAAAAAAAAAAAAAAAAAAAACCGATTGGTTGAATCCCGAAAAATTCGTGTGTCGCGAACGCTGCGATCGATAGCGTCTCGATTATCGATGCAAAGGATGATACGACCACAACAGGTGTCCAATACGATAAAAGGTAGAAGCGAAAAATAGGAGAAGCTTTTTTCAAAACGATGACGAGACTAATATCCGGATCGTGTCGTAAAAATCGAGGCAAAGGATCGAGCACCGTCACAAAAAGGTGACTCGAAAGTTTCACTGTTGCCCTGAAAATTTGTTTTTCATGCTTGTTTGAGATCCATCGTAATTCCAAGTTAAATGTCTCGGTAACTAACCCGCGCGTGGCTTCTTATAAGAAGTATGCTTTCTGTTTACATTTAATTTTAGAGTCGACTTTCAATCATTATATACGCGTATGTGTATATATATATATGTGTATATATATATATATATATAATTATATAATATTTTATTTTTTTTATTCGTATATATATATATATATATTATTATTCGATCTTACCGCCTAGG